AAGTATCCGGAGAAGACGGGTGGCAGGAAGGCGCGGCAGAGGTAGGACAGCAGGTCCAGGGACTGGGGGGGAGGGCAGGGGGCAGGGAGCAGGGAGCAGGGAGGGGAGGATGGGGCGACGTCTGCAGGCGTTCTGTGCTCGGCAGGGAGCAGTGGCCAGTGATGCTCAGCAGAGGCCACGCCGAATCGCTGCATGCTGCCCAGCAGGCGGGTTTTGGGGCGAGCTGGCGCGGCCGCCCCGCCCGCCTTCTCGCCGCCTCCGCCTCCCCTGGCGCACCATGCCCGTCGCCATGCCCACCGCCACCGCCGTGATTCCGTCGGCGGTGTTGCTGGCGAACTTGGCCTGCTCATACGCGCCGCCATACTGCACGCTGCAGGCGGGCGGGCAAGCGGGGCGGGCAGACGTGGCGGGCAGTGGTGAGGGCCAGGGCGTGGCTTGGGCTGCAACGACAAGTCCAGGGCGGCAGCTGTTGCTTGGGTGGGCCAGCCAGCTGCAGCAGGGTGCGGACTGGCGGCGACAGGCGCGTGCAGGCGCGCACGCCGCCACTCACAGCCACACGAGCTGAAAGAGCCAACCCAGGCTGGGCTTGCCCAGGAAAGTAAAGTTGGTGACTAGCCGCCACACCTGCGTGGGACAGCAGGCGAGGCATGGGGCGTGGGGCAGCAGGCGATGCAGGGTGGCCAGGAGGCAACGGTGGAGCAGCGGCAGGGCGGGCAAAGGCCGGCGCCAGGCCACACAGCCCGCAGTGCACGCCCGCTGCCATCCCCGCCTGCGGGCGGCCTGCTGCTGCTGGGGCTACTGCCGCTTCGCTGCCCTCCCCACCCCACCCTTGGGCCCACGCCAGCACCCGCGCGAGTAGCCGCCCACCTCTGGCACCCTCTTGAAGCACAGCTGCCAGCTGTGGTAGACGTACTGCAGCGGCATGACGCCCATGAAGGCCGCCAGCCCCGTCACGAGGTAGCACGTCAGCAGGCCGCGCGTGATGGGCGGCAGCGCTGTGTACCAGTCGGCGGCGCCGCTGCGGGCGGGGGGTGGGGGAGAGGCAGGGGAGGGGCCAGGCAGGCAGGCAGGAGCAGGAGGGGTGAGGAGGGCCGGGCAGAACCACGCGGCAGGCGGACACAGTGACGCATCAGGGGTGGCGCCGGGTGCAGAGACACTGCCACTGGGTGCAGAGACAGAGAGCTTCACTATGCTGCCACAAAAACTCACCGGTCGCCCACTTGTCGAATTTCCCGAGGCGGCATGCTTGGCAAGCTGCTTGTTTCAGGCACAGGCCTGCATGCGGGCGGCGGCAGGCGACGGGGGCGGCGATGGTGGCGCAAGGCAAGGATTCGCGGCGGCTCTGGCTGCCCCCCATCCTCCTTCATCTCCCCAATTGCTCTGCATGCGCAGGTAGACTGCCCTCAGGCGGGCGGCCAAATCGCCCCAGCGCCTGCGAGGAGCGACGGGAGCTCACCAGCAAAGCGGGTGCGAGTGTCGTGCTCATTCAGCAAGCATCGCCCTTACGGGCGCGTTGAGGGGCTACGCACTGTGGCGTACTGCACAACACAGAGCGTACTGCGACTGGGACCCTGCCGCCGCCGCAGGCACCCGACTCCTCCTGCATCCCCACCGCTGCTCCCCGACTTTTGTTTGTCCATGCATTAAAGCTTGTGGTACTGTGCACAGGCTACGTTCAAGTGGCAAGAAGAATACCAAAGGAAGGGAACTTGGGCGGGCACCGTCGGGGAGCCGACGGGCGGCAACGAAACTCTCTCTCGTGATGAAATTGGGGTAGTGCCGCGAAAAGTAAACACAAATGGAATGGAGGAAGGAAGGGAAGGGGGTGATGTGGATGCAACAGGATCCACCATCCACACACACAGGCATCCAACAGCAGGCGGGAACGTGTACTGCAGAGCGAGGCGCGCAGCAACAGGCACTGCAGCCAAGGGCAGCCCTCCACGGTTCGGCGGGCTTGGGGAAATCAAACAGGGCAGTGGTTGGGAAAGCACTGGGGACGGACTGAAAGGCGGGGCCGGATCGGGACGAAAAAGGGGAGGAGTGCGGCAGTACAAGCGGCAGGTGGATTGGATTCTGAGGAGGCGGGCAGGCGCCACATCCAGGGTCAGGAACGGCACAGCGGCAGGCACTTGGGCAGCATGTGCGTGCACGAGGCTTGTCCCTTGCCTGGGCGCGGCAGCGTGCAGCCGGAAAGTGTTGAAGTGATGGGGTCTGGAAGGGGGAAGGGCGCCGGGTGGCGTTCTCAGCTGTGGCGATGATACATGGACTAAGCAGCCGCGGAAAACCTGCCGAAAAAAGCAGTGCGCGTGGCCTCAGCCATCGGGAGGGGGGGAGGGGTTGGGGTGGTTTGGAAGAGCTCGGGCTCGGCGGGAGGGACAAGCGGGGCGGCGCCGTCGCCAGGGAGGCGGGGGCGCGGCTCCCGGGCCTGTACCTCACACAATGCGCTTGCGGCGCGTGTAGTTGAGAATGACCCAGAACACCCAGAAGGCGCCCAGGATGATCATGGCGGTGGTGCCCCAGAACCCCACCACGCTCATCTCCAGCGTGCTGCGCAGGTTCATGCCAAAGATGCCCGCCACCTGCGGCGGGNGAGTGGGGGGTGGGGGGAAGCAGGGGTGGGCATGGCGGGGCAGGCGCAGGGGGTGGGGGGAGGGCCATGGCGGGGAGCCAGGAGGTGATGGGAGGCCGACCAGGGTGGCAGGGTGGTGCAACGGTGGCGGCCCCCAGCAGTGCGTGTACGGTGGCAGGCCCATGCAGCAGGCCCATG